GCATTCTGAAATATCTGTAATAGTTTCTGAGATGTTCATGTTCAAACATTGCCTCAGATATCCGGAAAAGTACTTTATATATGAAGCTACCATTTTATAGCGATCAGTGTACATGTGTAAACTTTGAACCATGATTTTTTGGGGGTAAATTGACAGTTAGTGAAGCAGAGGGCCCACGATAATTTGCAATAGAGTAATCCATATATGTTGTCTGCTTAGCTGTGAATATACTTGTGTAGAAAAACAGTGGATTCAAGGCACATTATATCTGCTGGCAGATACTGGACAACTTAAATGCCAACACTGAAAATGTGTGATTGGTTAGTATCAGTCAGTATTCCTGATGATTACTATTATGTCATCTCTAACAGGTCTCCCAATGAAGAGAAATACAGATCAATACGCATTGGGAATCCAACTTTCTCCACAAAGCTGTTGCCTGTCAAAGGTGCTGTAGAATGTCTCTTTGAGATGGGATTTGAGGAGGTAATTTATTCATTTCTACTGTACCAGGTGGCTTCTATTTTAGAAGCAAGCTGGTGTTTTTGCTGTGTAGAACTTGCCTAGAAATCCATTGGACATTTCTCACTTGCTTGACTGTGAGCAAACTACCTCTTGCCAGGCTGAGACTCACTTAGTCTTCCCCAAGTCTGCATCAGTGGAAAAGCTGAAGCTCATCAGGGAATCTATTGCCACAGAAAGGGACCAGAGGCTGCGTGAGGGATGTCCTGTCCAACCAGCTCCTGTGCCTGCTGCAGCTTCAGCAGCAGCGAGCTCTACTGCTGCGGCTAACCTATCGGCAGCATCACCAGCACAGCAGCCACCGTCCGTGGTAAATAAAGACACTCTCACTGATGAATCGGAGAGTAGAGAAACCCTGATTAAATTTGGTCATGCCAACTCTATCCTCTTTTTACAGAGCATAGAGACCTCCTTGGACAGATTTGTGACAAATAAAGAATATAACACAGAAATTAGCCACTTTGAACATTAGTTTGTAACTGTATTGTGGATTTTCATCCAAGGATATTGGACAGCTGACCAAACCACCTGGCATTCCAGGGCTGGGACATCTTACAATAATTTAGCTGAAGTCATGTGATACAGTTATTAATTATGGATAACAAGACTCACTCTATAAGCCAAAAACACAAAGGATCTTCTTTTTGTTACTTTTATTTTGAAAGGATCTTCAGTTTCCTGATCCGTACAGAGGATATTTTCTCTACAACGTGGACAGAGAACTGAAAAAATAAAGCAGTGTGACTTTATAGGAGTTATGCTTTCAAGTTATAGGACATCATAGTTTCAGTAGTTAGTGAGGAAATTATTAATAGTACTATTTTAAGCTTCCACCAAATGCCTGTACAACGCCTGAACAACATTCACTTCCTTGAATGACACATTGGAGACCTGTCTGTTTATTTGCCTCTGTGTCAGGAGAGCAGCATGAGCTTCTTTGTGACTCTTCAAACAAACTTCCAACATGTGCTGCTTTATGAAAACCCTGAGCTGCAGCAGAAAGCCCGGAGTTTGATCCCTCACCAGGAGCTGTACTCTGCTGCTCAACAGAAGCTAAAGGAGGCTAATGAGTCTGACCCAAGTAAGAAAATTTCACCCACAGAAAACTTGGATATGTAACGTGTGTGTGTGTGGTGAAGTTTTTGACTTGCTGTCCTGTTTTCAGAATGTAAAATTGGAATAGAAGACTTCTTGGTGCTGGAATTGCTCAGGTGGTTCAAAAATGACTTCTTCACCTGGGTGGACTGTTTGCCCTGCCACCTCTGTGGAGGACAGACTCAGAACGCTCCCTCCCTCAGTCCTAGCACCGATGACCTCCACTGGGGAGCCCAGCGAGTGGAAAACCACTATTGTCAGAGCTGCCGGGTTTCCACCAGATTCCCCAGGTGAGTGTAGGTTATACGTTTGCATTTGGTTGCAAAACAAGTACGGCGAGTTAGGCAGGGATATGTTGCTTTCCACTGCTCGCTGAACAATTTTCTATGTAGAGAACAAAACGAAGACATCAGCAGAATGTAGCATATGAAGGTATGTAGTTAACAAAGATATGGGCAGCGAAACATGTTTTGTTTTTTGTTGTTTTATGTTTTAACTAAAAACTGTTAAGAGAAGCAGAATTCTGCTTCACATTGTTCTTGGATCACAAAAAGTTTACAAAATGCAAGAAAAAGAAATATTCAGATGTTCACTGTAGAAATCAAAGACCTACAGAGGCAGAAAATAACTCTAAAACCTAAAAACAACAAATGTTGGAATGTGTGTAGAAAGAAATACTGAAAGTTAATCAACACAAATTTCAGAGAATATGGGATATATTAAACAGCATTATTAAAAATAGTTGTGAACAGCACAAGGAGTTCAATATCTTACTGATAACTACGTCATAAAGGATGATGGTGCTGACGTAGTTTTAACAGTTAGTTTGTAAACGCTGGATCAAATCTGTCCTGAGCTCCTGCCATCTGAAGACTGGGATCAAAGCCAGATAGAAACACGTGTAAATACAGTAAAGCCACTGATTGTAGTGATAGAGATACAACTGTAAAGAGCGTCACAGAAGGATCTCACAATCTGTAACATTCACATCAGTGAAGTTCATAACAAAATGAGGTGTGTGTGTGTGTGTGTGTGTGTGTGTGTGTGTGTGTGTGTGTGTGTGTGTGTGTGTGTGTGTGTGGCTGGCATATTTTGGATGCCTCGTCTGTTCTTCTTAACACCAGGTATAACAGTCCTGAGAAGCTGCTGGAAACCAGGAGAGGGCGCTGTGGGGAATGGGCCAACTGTTTCACCCTGTGCTGCAGGGCTGTTGGCCTTGAGGCCAGGTACATCTGGGACAGCACAGGTATATACGTCATTGGACACCTTTTCTGCTCAAAGAGGAAAGATGTCAGTTTACTCTGCTCTGTCGTGCTCTTACATTTCTCAGCGTCACTGGATCATACAGACTGTTTAACTTGAGTTTGTATCATTTTAAGTAACGTAAAAGATGAGCTTCAGTGTCTATGTTGACAGGACAGGCTCATACCTGCTTGTACATTAAGAAAACGTTATCACATCTCCTAAGATTCCTGCGTGATGTGCTGGTGCACACGTGTGTAAATGAGTCGTGTTCCCTGTGTGTTTCAGACCATGTGTGGACAGAGATTTACTCTGTCTCTCAGCGCCGCTGGCTACACTGTGATCCATGTGAGAATATCTGTGATAAGCCTCTTCTGTATGAGGTCGGTTGGGGGAAAAAATTGGCCTACGTTCTGGGCTTCTCCAAGGACCAGGTACAAGAAATGGACACATGCTAGTACTGTTGTAACTTGTACTACTATTGTATTATTATTTAATACGAATGCTGTTATCTGCACTGTACTTTCTCACTTTGTGTTGAGGTGTAGATGTTTCTGTGTTTAGATATCGACTCCCCCTCAAAGTCAAAGTTGAGTTAAGTGTATATATGAGATTATATTGCTGTCTTTGAGACGGCCTCTTTCATGTTTATATCTTTGGGGGGGGATAGCCCTCACTAGCTTAAGAACAGCTCAGATAATTACAGCTGGTTGTTTGAACAGTTGTGGGTGTGTGTGGATTTGTGCTGTAGGTGGTTGATGTGACATGGAGGTATTCCTGCAATCATCCAGAGGTTGTGTTGAGAAGGACCAGGGTTCAGGAGGCCTGGCTGCTGCACACCATTAATAGGCTCTCTGCAGTGGTAAGACTAACTCACTTAACAGACTAATTACTGTGGTGTCTCTGGTGTAAAGCACTCACCTGCTGCTCTGTCATTAAAGCGGCAGCAGTTCCTGAGTCCAGAGAGGAAGAAAGAACTGACAGAGAGGCTGCTTGTCGAGTTGGTGGAGTTCATCTCTCCGAAGAAACCTAAAGCAGGAGAGCTAGGCGGGCGCAACTCTGGCTCTCTGGCCTGGAGAACAGCTCGGGGAGAGACCAGAGCGAGCAATGAAGAAACCTCCACAGAGGTACCGTACAACAAAATATGGCCTCTGGCATCGGTTTGAGCAGACATTTAAACAGGCTTCTTGTTATCAGCAATATACTAAATATCCTTTTGATTCTGCTGTAGCTATGGCATCAACATGTACAGAAAATGACACAACAATGCAATAAACACACAGCTTTCTCAGTAACACATTTTGATGATGCGGCCTGTCTTCAGTTGTTGAGTAGATTCACCGTTTGGAAGTGTACATTTTACTGAAAAAGCATGTTTTCTTTCCAGGCTGTAGGTTTTGTGTTCACTCCGACTGACAAAGAGAAGAGTGACAGGATGCTCCACATACGCTACAGCGCCTCCAAAGACCAGTACTGCCGAGTGTCCAATGGCTCTGAACTGATCCAGAGCTGGTCTCAGTGCGCGTGGAGCACGGAGTCAATTTTCAGAAAGGTGGAACATGATTGGCAGATGGTATGTTTGTTTTTGTTTTATAGCAGTGTCGTTATCGTTTACCTTTATTCTCTGTATATGTATCATTTTCAAGTGCTAAGGCTACATCCACATGTACCCGGGTATTTTTGCAAACGCAGATTTTTCTATGCGTTTGCACCTTTCGTCCACACGTAAACGGCGTTTTCGGTCACTGAAAACGGAGATTTTTAAAAACTCCGGGCAGGGTGGATATTTTCTAAAACTCCGTTTTTGC